CCCCAGACACATCCCCCCCAAAGGAGCTTCGGCACCTCCCTCCCAACAGCTCAGCCAAGCCTGTGGGAGCTGATCAAAGTTCAGCTCTGGGGAAATCAGGAAGCCCATAAAGCGTGGGTAACGCGGAGTTGGCGCCGAGGTGGGGGAAATAATTGAAATTATCAGAGTTGAAAGGCATGGAACTTCCTGGTGGGTGAATTCCAGCACAGGAGCGATTGCAAATGGCCCAGGAAAACCGACAGAGCCTCCTCTGTTACCCAGCCCCTCTCCTGAGCTGGGTTCCCAACCCTCCACCGAGCCAATAAAAGTCATGGGTTTGATGCTCGCTGTCGTGCCTGGAGTTATTGGTTTAAATCCAGCTTTTCCAGGCTGCCAACCATTCCCTGCCGTGGGAGCAGGGATCTCGGAGCAGTGGGAAGAACCAGAGGCTCTGCTCCCCTCCCTGGCAGCAGCGACGCTGCTTGCTTTCATCTCAGGAGAGAAAAGCCCCCTCGTGATCAACGATATTCCAGGATTCTCAGCGATCATGGGATGTAGATACTCCAGGATGGGAATTCCTGAGCTCCCCAGAGCAGCTGGATGAGGGCAGGTGCAGCTCCCAGACGTTCACTCCATGGCAGAAGGCGTAAACAATCCTCTCCCAGCCACCTCGAGTTCACAGCTGAGAGTGTAGGATGTTTACACGTGCTACAGCATGGCACATTCCCACTTCCAGCAATCCCTGCTCATGGATTCCCCTTCGCTTCATCCAGCTGGGCAGGAAAAGGAAAATTCACATTACACAGGAGCACGTCTGGCTGAGCACTGGGCTGGAGTGAGGAGTTTGTTGGCTTAGAAGTTGTTTTTTTGGGGAGCAGAACAACTCAGGAGTTACTCCTAGGAGGTTTCCCAGAGTAAGAATCTCAAAGATTCAACTGATCCCAGATGGTTTTAAGAAAAAAAAAAACAACTTTGAGCCTGGCTCTCAGGGCAAACATCATCAGAAGCACCACCAAACACAACCTGTGCTACTCCTGCAGCTCCCGTTCCTCTGGTGGAAGGAGGAATAATAATAATTAAAATCTATTTTCAGCAGGGCAGGTCTGCAGTGAACCAGCAACCCACAAGTGCTGGGGCAGCTCCGAGCCCAGTCCTTTGGTTATTTCTGGAGTGCTCCAATCCCAAATTCCAGCTGAATCCTGAAATAATGAAGACTGAGACCTCCTCTGAGCATCCATTCCAGGCTCAATCCTGTTTGCCACAGGCTTCAAATCCAAATTTTCTTCCACTCCTTCCTATCCCATCATTTGCCATCTTTTATTTCCAAGCCACAGCTGGAATTCCCAGAGCAGAAAACCAGGATTTCATTCCCAGCTCCTCCAAGAACCCACACTGCCTTGTCAAATAAGAGATAAAATACAGATTGTAGGGAAAAAAAAACAAAAATCCAGGCACAGGCAGCTGCTTTTCCACAGGAATTTCCCTGTAAATCCTTAATCTACATTCCTAGGGGGTATCTACTTCTCCACACAGCTTTTCCTGCTGGAAAAAGGATTCCTGGTGAGGAATATCTCATTTCCACTCCAGACACCTCAAGGGAAAAAAAAAAAACAGAAAAAAAGTGGATTTCCAAAATTCGATTTTGGAATAA